AAAAAAATAGCAAGAAGTGAATACGAAGTAGTGGGGAATAATGAAATCGCCGCTTACACCAAAACGTTATATGATAGATAAAACAAAAAATTGATTGTGATGGTTGAGATGACAAAATATCACACAAAAACAATAGACAGGATAATAGAGAAGTGTTCGGGTTTTCTCCTCCTACTTTCATAAAATCATTATAAAAGTTAAATACAGATGTCTCCGAAGCGGGTATTATAAATTTCCCGGTATTTTACGCAAATTCAGACGTCGATAAATATACTATATATATACTTCGAAATTTGTACCAATAGATCCAAGTTTCTAGAACCCCATCCTTGAGTACATATTAAGGTATCTTGCCGTAGAATGCTTTCGTATCCTTATTAGTAGAATCCTAACGTAGTCTTGCCTGGGTACTTATTAAGATATATTACTCTAAAATCCGTACCATTGATTGAATACACTTATGTCTCTTATCGCAGAATCCGTTCGTTTCATTGCTTGAGTACTTATTAAGTTATTTCCTTAAGTGTTTATTATTTCTTGCCGTAGAATCTGTCCTGTCCGTGCTTGAATACTTTTTAAGATCTATTGCTAATAATCCTTTAGTATATATAATCCGTAGAATCTATCCGTATCCTTGCTTGAGTACTTATTGAGGTCTATTGGTGTAAAATCCGTACCATGACTTGAGTACTCATCAAAATATCTTGCCGTAGATTCCTTTCGTGACCTTGTCTGAGTACTTATTATCTTGCCGTAGAGTCCTTTCATATCCTTGCTTGAATACCGATTAAGGTTTCTTGCTGTAGAATCATTCCGCATGTTTACTTAAGGGAACCCCCCCCCCCATTCTCGATTTTTTATTTTTAAGATTTTAAATGGGCTGGTAAATGAATACCAATGCTTGTTAAGGTTTGTAACTTGGCACATATGTATTTGAAGATTTAAAAAGGAAGAAAAATAATTTACCAAAATTTGTTGTTGTTGTTTTGTTGTTGTTTTTTGGGTTCAAAGAAAAGTCCATATTTTCGATGGCGGGCATGATAACTCCTCACTGGAACATCGGAATCCGAAAATTCCAAATGTTTTAGAAAGAGGACATGTCTGGCTCTCGTATGAACTAGGATTATTGACTTCGCACAACAATTAACAAAATGGCGGAACTTTGAAAAAATTTTTATGGAAAATCGCCTATTTTTTACCACAAACTAAGTTAAAAAATAAGGAAGATCTTCACCGATTAGCTTTATCCTAGTTCATACGAGAGCTACACACTCCCAGAGAAACGTGTCAAAATTTGAAACCGATTGGATTATTAGTTTTTGAGTTATCGTGCCCGCCATTCGTTTTGAGAAAAACGCGTTTAAAGTTTGAGAAGCCCTTTAGCCGTCACTTGATGCTAACACAATAAATCGGCTATATCTTTTAGAGTTCTTGAGATTTTCACTTGAAATTTTGTAGAGACATTCTAGAATTAGAGTAGATTCGAATTAAATCAAAAAAATTTTTGACACCGAGAATTGGGGGGGGGGTCCCCTTAAGTAATTCTGAATATCTTTTATCGTAGAATCCTCCCTTTTCCCTTCAGAGTATATCCACGTAATCAACCTAGGTTGTGGTTGTGTATAGCCAAGCAATACCTAGGGTATCTGGGTCCCTAACACTCAAGCATACTGTTACCTTTTCCGCTAAGCGCACTTTCCAATGTCCCTATGCAAAAGGACGCCTAAACTTAGCAAAAACCCCGAATCTGAGGTACAGTACTCTTACTGTACCTTGTTTGAGTACTTGTTAATTTCTATTGCCGTAGAGTCCTTTCATATCCTTACTTCAATACTTATTAAGATCTCTTGTCGTAGATTTTTTTCCGTATTCAAGTTATCAAAACTTAAGTGAGAGTATAAATATCGAGGATTCTAACACTCAAGCATTCCGTTAATTATTCCGCCAACATTACTTATCAAGGTCTCGCCTCAGATGGATGTCTAAGCTTAGCCGAATAGATGACTACCGGTTAGTTCAGAGCATCTGTATCGGGATCTCCAAATTATCTATCGCCATGTTGCCTAACCCACCTAGAACACTTATCCAGATCTCAAAACTTTGTTTTAAATTTGGATTGGTCGTGGTCTGTACTAAATGATCTATTACAGGCAGACTCAAAGTGAGCGAGAATTTCTATTGGTAATAGTTGGTACAGTCCTTTTGTGACTTGGATATTTTCGGGAATATCATTATCGCCCATAGAAAATATGTCTTTGCTAAGTTATTCATATTGAAACAGGGTGCACACAACTGATTTTATACTGGCTGGAAACCACTAGATCATTAGTAGGTATATTCGTAGAAATCTTCACTGAATTTATTGTCACATTTTTACAGTAGGGATCATAACTTTTAATTTCCCACAGGAAAGATATACATTTAGAAGTTAATAGAGCTATTTGACTGCAGACTGACTCACATATGTTTTATATTGCAACAGGGTGTGTACGGTATCTGATTTTATTCTAGCTGACAACCGCTAGCCATTGAGTAGGTATATACGTGTCTTTCGTTACTAAACCATTAAGCCTTTTAGTAGGTATATTAGTGGAAATCGTTACTGAATTCATTATTACATTTGTACAGTAGGGAGGGAGTATACTGGGATCATAAGTTAAAATTCCTATTTGAGAGCAAATTTTTATTACGATCAGAGGTCTGATACAGGTTTAGGAGTTAGTAGAGCTATTTGACTGCAGACTGACTCAAAAATTTAAAAACAAAAAACTGCCATACTTTTTCGAATATTTCAAGCCTACTGATAATTACATTCAAGTGTTTATGAATATTTCCAGATAATTTGCTATGTGGTTTTTGCAAGATATGTGAATATTTTGATGTCAATTCTAGGATGAATTTATCCAAATTTGAATGACGAATTTATCCAAGATAGCGCTGTTACCTAGCTTTGTGGAAAAACTTAGCCCAGTGAATCAAATCACTTTTGGTGAAAATGTTATTTTATTGTGAGTTTATTCGATGCACGAAGGTAATTTATCTCTAGGTTTTTATTCCAACCACTGTTCCGCAAAGCTTTGCGGCTAGAATGCCACAATGAAATAGCTGTTTTCGACTTTCTAGCTCGCCTTGTTGTTGTAAATTTCATTTGAAGACAACATTAGCGGAATGCATGTTGCATTTTCTGTTATCTGTTTTTTTGCGGATTGGATTTCTGTTTTGTATAGCCTTAGGCTAGTGGCAGGCACCTTTTGTGAAGCCGTTTCTTTTTTCATTTTGTTTTTTTCTTTTCCAATGCCATTTTTACGCTTTTTAGAGATCCTCTCAGGCAAGATTAAGAGCTAAATTAGCATAATGAAAGAGCAGAATCTTATATCTTTGTTTTGTGTGTCTTCTTCGGATAAAAGGCATAGAGGAAATGAGGGAAGGCAGAGACAGGGGAGATTTGACAACAGCAAAAATAATAATAAAAGGCATGAAAAATGTTTGGTGTAAATTTCGGAAATACTAATTTGAAAAGGTTTGATTTAGTATTTTCTAAAGGAGAAATTTTTAATCAAATTTGAGAAATTTTCAACCTTGAAAGAGAACAAAAATTAGAGGGTATTTTTAAATCAAGAAGGGGAAATTCGGAACTTGAAGATGTACTAAAAATTCTTTGTATGTTATATTAAATTGTTTGGATTATAAACTTTTTGTTGGAACAATCCCAATATTTAAAAGAATAAATTACTCGTCCTTCTTCCTAATAAAAACCTCCAAAGAAATGTACAAATATTTCTAGATTGGGTATTTTCTAATCAAGATGCGGAAATTTGGACATAGAGTTGTATTAAAAATTGTTCACATGTGCTAAAAAATAGTTTGGATTGGATTGCTGGAATAATTCCAATATTTCAAAGAAAAAATTTTAGGTGGAATTAGAGATTATTAGGAGAGGTCAGAAATTAAGGGTTATATTCAAATTAAGTGGACCATGAAAAAAGACAAATATTAAGGGAATTTTCTAATAATGAGGGAAACCCTAAAGCTGTATTAAAAATTCTTCACATGTTTTAAATAGGCGGAATTAGAAATTTCTAGAAGAGGTCAGAAATAAGGAGCTATATTCCAAACAAGTGGGGGAAATTTGGATTTTGTATTTTAATACCCTTGTAGGTTTTAGAATCTGTAGAATCCGTCCGTATCCTTGCTTGAAAACATATTAAGATCTTTTGCCATAGAATCGTAACGTATTCTTGCTTGAATACCTATTAAAATATATTGCTATAGAATCCTTTAGTACCCTTGCTTGAATACTTATTAAGATCTTTTTCCGTAAAATCATTCCGTATCCTTGCTTGAGTACTTATTAAGATCTACTGCTGTAAAATCCGTATCATTACTTGAGTGCTTATTAACATCTCTTCCCGGATTATAATATTTTTGTTGGAATAATTCCAATATTTTCCTAATAGAAACCTTCTCCAGAGAAATATAAAATATGCGGAATTAGAAATTTCTGGAAGAGGTCAGAAATTAAGGGCTATACTCTAATCAAGTGGAGGTCATATGGACTTTGAATTTTAGTACCCTTGATTTAAATTCTCCACATGCAGGCCTAAATTCATGTCTAACTTTTTTTGAATAAATTTTCGGCCAATTTTTCTAACAAATTGGTTTTTTTCAAGCTCTTCTATCCTTCCCTTCGGAATTTTATTATTTTCAAATCTCATTTACTTTCACAAGATTTTGGGTTTCCAATGAATACCAAAACACAAAAAACGTTTGGGGAAAATAAATCAATATTTATTTTCTTGGAAAAATCTTTGAGCTCTACCTAGCTTTTCGTTGTGGAAAGAGTTTTCTTTGGGAAATTCAGCAGTTTACAGTTAGTAAACAAACAAAAAATCCCCAAAAAATAAACAATCTTCAGCTCTCCATAGAGTCGTCTAAAGGGAAGAAAAAGGTGATCACATTTCCTTAACCACAAAATAAAAATAAAGTCGAAATAAACTTACCCAATAATTGGACTTGTTGCCTGTGGCTTCTCCTGGCTTCTGGACCATCTTAATGATATGCTATTTTGGGTAACATTCAAGGCTTTGGGGGTGCCGGGTGGTGCTGGATATGTACTGGGATCTGCCGAACGATGTAATGTTGATGAACTGCTCTTTTCCACCTGGCGTGTTTAAAGTTGAAAAAATCACAATGTGGCCCCAGTCATATTGTTGGTAACATGAAAGGATACATGCAAAGAGAGAGAGAGAGAGAGAGAGAGAGAAGAAGAAAAAATAAGAAACTATGTAAATTTTGTTTCAACATTATTTAAATTTTTTTTTTTTGTTCAACACAGCAAAACTAATATTGAACGGTGCGGCCGACCCTCATTCAACATAATGTTGCATGTTTTTTTGGCTTTTGTTGCTGAACGATAAAATATGGTAAAAGGTTTGATGGTTGTTCTTGTTGTTAGTATTGTTAACTGGTTGACCTGATGTTTTGACACAATATTGGCTATGGCCGTAACATTAATTGTGATTGACATTTTGTTGTTATACCCATTCGGAAATAATATGATGATGAGGACGACGATGATGTTGTTGTCGTTGTTCTGATGGTGTGTCAGGCTAATTTGCGGTACATTGTGTAAAATTTATGCAAATTTTAATGAAATGTTTGTGATAATGTTTTCATGGAAATTTTATCCAACCAGACGTCAAAAAAAAACATGTGTAAAATTCTCTCCAAAACAAAATGAGGGTAATTGCCGAGGTAACCCTTTCACAAAAGCCTCCATCCAGTTGACCTCAATCAATCAAGAATGATATTTTAAAAAACACGTGGAAGGGATAAATTTTCGTTTTCAATATACCATTAAAAAATAAATTTATAAAGATGGCTTTTTTGGATAGCTGTCTTTAAATTAAAAAAAAGATGTAGTGGAAATGTGCACATTTTCCCTTTGAAATTAAATGTCTACATTTTCTTTTCAATATTAAATTAAAAAAATATATTTTATAATAAAATAAGATTTTTTTTCAATATCGGTCGTAAAATCCTCTCACACACTCATGCAGAAATACCAGTTCCAATTAGCAACAAACAAATAGTATTTAAAAATCATGCATGGGAGAAGACAAAAAGAAAAAAATTGTCTCCGGAATGTAGAGATACCAACCAACAACATTTCGATATCAAAATGTCATTATGTATCATTAATACATTCTGATATTCGATACAAATGACCATTTCAAAATTGAAAAAAACATTGGAAATATGTTTCACAAAAAATCCACAATTCAAACAACAACAGTTGTTGTTATGTTCAAAAATGCATTTTTATTGGGCACAGTGGGGGAATGTTGAAAATCGTAATAATCATAAAATAAGCAACAATAAGAAAGGAAGTAAAACGGGCGGGATATACAATATAAAACATTAATTTAAGTTGTTTTTGGTTAATTTTGATTCTTAGTATTATTATAAAAATAATAATGATATTCAATTCAATTTAAAATACATGTTTGATAAAATTAAACAATAAAATTTTATAGAAACAAATCTATTAAAAAAACGATTTCAAAATATTGTATTTGGGAGGAAACAATTTAAAAATAAACTATTGACAAAATGTATTTATTTTTTTTTTTTTAATTCAAGAAAAAGTTTTGGAAACATTTGGAATAATTATTGTAAAAAATTATTATAAAACAATTTTGGATAACATATACAAAGAAAATTTAATACTTTTTTCATAAAAATATGTGAAAAATATTTCGGATAAAATTTCTATAAAAAATATATTGACTAAATTTTTGTTAGAAAAATTCAATTTTTATAAAAAAAAAATAAATAACATTTTGGCAGAATAAAAGCTATCAGTTAGTATTATATGAAAGAAAAATATGAAAAACTTTTTTATTACAAAAATTTGGATAAAATATTAAAAAAATAGAAAAATGGGATAACAGTTTTATTGAATTTAAAAAATATTGAAAATATTGGAAACTTTTTTTGTCAAATTTTTTAGAAAACATATTTTATGAAAATTTTTCATTCAAAAATACTAGAAAATATTTCGCATAAAATATCAACAAAAAATATTTCGGCTAAAATTTTCATAGCAAAAAGTTTTGAAATAAAATTTGAATACAAAAAAAATAAAATTTAGGTAGAATATCAGATAATAGTATTATAAAAATGGAAAATATCATAAATTGATATTTTACAAAAATATAGACAAAAAATTAAACAAAAAATAGAAAAAATGGGATGACATTTTTATTGAAATAAACAAAATATTGAAAGAATTTGACACACATTTTTTGCAGACACTATCGGATAGCATTTTAATGAAATTTTTTTCAAAAAAAAAGTAGAAAAATATTTCGGAAAAATTTTGAAATATGTTGGCTAAAATTTTCATAGGAAAAAACATTTGGTATAATATTTATATAAAAACCAGTGAGCGGAGCAGTATAGTCGGACGGGGCCGACCATACGATACCCTACACATCCACAGAACTCTATCTTTCTGCGGGTTTTTATTCCAAGCCTTGTTAATATTTCGTGATAGTTGCACCCTCTTGCCCGATTAGAGGTCAACAGCACCTCCTCCTTACACTGACATATTTTCCGAATATTCCCAATATTCAGTACAGCCCTTCTAATTACTTGTCCAGATTCACTTCACCATGGGTTGTGTTGTGATGGTCGGCTTATAATTTTAGCCTATAGATCGAATCGAAAAAAACTCAAATCCCAAACTTATTATCTGACCATTACCGAAAATTATACGCATTGTCCACAACTGGAATCTTATGGAAAATTTCAAAGCGATCAGCGCTATATTTCCACAGTACGTAAGCACCTGTAAATATTTAAGTGTAACTCCCACATCCGAGTACATATGACAATATAATACCAATATATCAATTTAAAGCCCAACCACTATATACTATCAACTTCTCGGGTCTATGTCCTTCAGGAGTAAATATATACGCTATAGAATACAAATTTTGTCATTTCTCACACAAAAGTCAGGGTCCATTTGACCCGCTAAATATTGACCGATCTTTATCAAAACAGGCATGTTTATTCTTTGGCCCGATACCCTTCTCCATGCAAAAATTCACGGTGTTTGGGCCATAAATGCGGCGTCTGAAGCGACCAGAAAAAAACGAAAAAAATTAAGTATTTGGTCCATTTCATACCCTAAATATTACCCAATCTTACCATAAACAATAGGGGTCTTCATTGGCCAGAACCCATACCATACCAATCTGAAATTTATGAAAAATTTAATGGACCTAATTTAGTACGCTGTGCAAAATTTTATGCGAATCGGTTTTAATTTGACTATTTGGTGTTGCATTTACATAAAATCGGACGAAACTATGTATATATAGTAGCTATATCTAAATATGAACCGATTCCAACGAAACTTCGCATACATCAATCTGGACCTAATACAATACTCTGTGCAAAATTATTTCGTAATCGGACACATTTCCAGTATGGTGCTCCATTTATATAAAATCAGACGAATGTATATATAGAAGCTATATCTAAATCTGAATCGATTCCAAAGAAACTTCGCATAAATATATTTGTACCTAATACAGTACGGTATCCAAAATTTGTGCCAATTGGCCTAAAATTGACACTTTGATGCTCCATTTACTACAATCGGACGAAACTATATATGGGAGCTATATCTAAATATGAACCGATTTCCACAAAACTTGGGATACATCAGTACTCTGTGCAAAATTTTGTCTCAATCGGACCAATATTGGGAGTTTGGTGCACCATTTACATAAAATCGTACGAAACCATATATGTGAGCTATATCTAAATCTGAACCGATTTTTCACAATTTATTAATTAAATAAAAAAAATAATAGCTTTAAATTTTGAAAAAAAAAATATTTTAATATTTTTATATTAAGAAAAAAAATCTAAATAAATAATTTTAGTTGTTTTTTATTTCGCAAATGTTTTGAAATATTACGATGGTTTATTTATTTATTTTTTGTAATAAAAATAAATTTTTTAGGTGTTATCCTTTAATCAAATTTGTTGGCGTATTCTTGTCTTTAAATCCCAACAACAAAAATTTTCTATCGAAAATATTTTACCCGAAATAATTTTCTATTTAAAAAAATTGTTCCCAAAATCTCCACCCACTGTAAATACCGGCTGTCTGACTATGCAAATATTTATATAAAATGAAACTTGGTCATAAAATGATGGAGCACCCAACCACACCGCAACGCATAGCTGAGAATGCAAAAACAAAACAAAAAAAATGGAGTCATTAATTTCTGTAACAAACGGCACTATTTTTCTTGTTCACAATATTTGTGGCTGAGGAGGCTGGCTCCAACTTCTTCATCCCCTTGCCCATGGGGGCATTCTCTCCCATGGACCGCTGATTGTCTGCAACACCAGTATTTTTGTTGTTGATACAAATTCTGAATTGGCGTTTTTATAGCTTTTGGATAGGGTTGTAACAATCATGACCGCAACATAACAGATTGGCTTTTTATAGCAGCTGATGGTTGGCGTGGTGTTGTTGTTGGTGTCGTTGTTGTTACAGACGAATGGTATTCGCTGTTGAATGGTTCGGTTCATTGGATGGATGGATGGTCGTTTGAATGAATGGTGGTTTGTTGTATGATGAACAACAAGAGTTACGCATTGCAACGTCAAACCCCCCATGTAAAGAAGAGGGGTAGGCAGGCAGGCAGTCGTCAGACAAACTTTTTAGACTTGGCTGCCAGTCATGTCATGAGTGCACTTGTCTGCCGTGTATATGAAACACTTGTGTGTGTGCGTGTGTGTGTTTGTTTGCAACTTGAATAGTATATTGACTACTGCATTGGTACTTGAAAATGTTGCCATCAAGCTAACAGCCGAAAGACAGAACAGACAGACCAAGTTTTAAATAATATTTGCTCACAAATACACACACACCTCTCTTTCTTTGTGGAGCCTCCTCTCTACATCATCCTTTTGCTTTTGAACATCAATCATAATTTTTCTCAATATGTTTTTTGTAGAGACTTTGATTTGTTGTTGTTGTTTTTGTTAGTTTGTTTGTTCTTCTATTTGTTAAATAATTAATTGAATGGCTTTTGGTTATGGTAATTGAAAGCTGAGAGAAATAGAAAAAAGAATAGAGAGAGAGAGAGAGCTAGAGGAGAAGGTATGCCACCATAGATCAAATATGATGACAGATTTTTGTTTTCAAGCAAAAAAGGTTTGAAACCTTGAATTATTGAGAAAATGATATGGAAAATTGCTTACCAACTATTGGCGAAGTGTCATAAATTATTTATAGAGAGGATGGATGGCAATATAAATGGTAATTTTTAGAAGTTGAAAAAAAAATACTTTTTTCTTTAATAGCAGCAACTTTGAGTTTTTTTTTTTTTTGAAAACTTTAAATTTCTTTTTCCATCTGGACTTCATTAAAATTTCTGTTTTACACAAAAATATTTCACTGAAGCACAAAGCTCTGAAAAAATTGCCGACCTCCAAACAATGTTGGTGGTCTTGCCAGGCAGGCACAGGACAGAGTTCTCATACCACCACAACCACCGATGATATATTTATTACAAAAGAGGCATAATGATTTTCTTTTTTTCAAAACCTAATTAATATGCCGATACACGTTTCCAAATATGTTGTTAAGTCTGGGTAGTTGGTTTTATTTGCATTGACTCTCTTGAAATACCAAAAAATAAATAAATAAAAAGTTTTGGCTCTTCAAAAAAAATAAATAACAAAATCGAAAAGAAAAACAAATTTTGGTCTCATGACTAGCCATTAAGTCAATAAACCAAAAGAAAGAAAAAAAAACAACAACCTAATTATAACCCATTCTTATGTAAAAAAAATCTTCTTGATACGATTCATCCATGATTCTTCCCACAACAACAATAACAACAAACCACTTGAGTTGGGGAACAGTGGTCGTGGTGGTGGTCCCTGCTATGTCCATGAAATGACTTTGCACAAATTTTAGGTCAATTTGTTAATTATGTCATTTGCGCTAGGAGGAGGAGTAGGGAGAAAATTGGGAAGGGGGTATATTCATTGAATTTATTATTATTTTTATAAGTTTGTTTGTTTTTTTTCCTCCAGTTTTTTTATCTTTCTTGCCATGAATACAGTAGTTTATCTATGATGACTATGGTCAAGGTGGTCTATGGGGGTAATTGAATTATCCACATAATTTTATTTTCTACTTGATTCTCTCTCTTGGTCATACTGGAGCCATCAGCAATTAAGATGCAAATTTTTGTAAAATATGAGAAGAATGAAGTGAACAATAAATGCGTGCCCCAAAAATAGTTTTTTTCGTGAATTTCCCGGTTCAAGTGATGCAAAGGGGTGGGAATATTTTTTAAATTAATATATATATATATATATATATATATAGAAATTTTAATTATGTTATGTGAAGATATTTCAAATAAAAAAAATTGTATAAACATATTTAAAAATAAAAAAAAAATTAAAAAAAATGTATTCAATCAATAAAATTTTATAAATAAAAAAAAAATCAGAATTTTTCCTATAAATTAAAAACAAAATTTTTTTATTAAAAAAAAAACAGTAAAGCTCAAAAACAAATTCTGGTTTCATGACTAGCCATTAAGTCAATAAGCCATAAGAAAACAAAAATAACAAACTCATTTTTAACCCATTTTTATTTAAAAAAAAATCTTCTTGATACAATTCATCCATGATTCTTCCCACAACAATAACAACAAACCACTACGCTATGTCCATGAAATGACTTTGCACAAAAGCTCAAAAGTCGGACGGTGCCGACTATATGATACCCTTCACCACTTTGGGTACACACAAGACATGATAATGTGTAATATATCCTGTTGATAGGATCTGAAATTCTGAATGTCTGAAATCTATAAAAAAATTGCATGTCAATCAATACTTGAATTGTTGGTGTAAGATTTGTATGAAGTCTGGCAAAATTTTGTATGGGAGATATATGTAAATCTGAACCAATTTCAACAAAACTTCACGCACCTCAAACTGGACTTAATTCAGTATGCTGTGCAAAATTTTGTGTCAATCGGACAAATATTAGGAGTTTGGTGCACCATTTACCTAAAATCGGACGAAAATATATATGGGAGCTATATATCTAATTCTAGACCGATTTCAAGGAAAACTTCATAGATGTCAAACTGGATTGAATTCAGTACGCTGTGCAAAATTTTGTGTCAATCGGACAAATATTGGGACTTTGGTGCACCATTTACATAAAATCGGACGAAACTATATATATGGGAGCTAAATATAAATCTAGATCGATTTCCACAAAACTTCACAGACATCAAACTGGACTAAATTCCGTACGCTGTGCTCAATCGGGCAAATATTTTCAGTTTTGTGCACCATTTACCTAAAATCGGACGAATATATATATATATATATATATATATATATATATATGGGAGTTATATCTAAATCTGAACCGATTCCAAGAAAAATTCGCATACATCAAACTGGACATAATTCAGTACTCTGTGTAAAATTTTGTCTCAATCGGACCTACATTGGCAGTATTGTGCCAATATTTTACGAAACTATATATGGGAGCCATATCTAAATCTGAACCTATTTCAACAAAACTAAGCACATATCTATCTAGACCAAATTCAGTACTCTATGCAAAATTTTGTCTCAATCGGACCAATATTGGCAGTATGATGCATCATTTACATAAAATCGGACGAAACTATATATGTGGGAGCTAAATATATAAATCTGAACCGATTTCAACAAAACTTGACACATATCAATCTAGACCTAATTCAATACTCTGTGTAAAATTTTGTCCCAATCGAACAAATATTCCGAGTTTGGTGCATCATTTACATAAAATCGGAAGAAACTATATATGGGAGCTATATATAAAGCTTAACCGATTTTCTCCAATTTCAATACAGTTCGTCCTCAGGCCAATTAAGTGACATGTGCCAAATTTCATCCAAATCGGATCATAAATGCGAACTGTACTTTGTTCACAAAAATACATGGACGGACGGACAGACGGACATGCATAAATCGACTCAGAAAGTGATTATATGCATATTTTCAAAAGGAACTATGGGTCTATCTCGATTCCTTTTGCCTGTTACAAACTTATGCACAAAGACATAATACCCTGCACCACAGTGGTGAAGGGTAAACAAAGTAATTGCGGGTCGGAAAAATTTTAAGCCAAGATTTAATAACGCTGTTAAAGGAGCCCCACGTTGAAAGGGGACACCTATCCAAATTTTTGTTCTATTAAAAATTATATGTGATTACAAAAAAAAAAAAAAAAAAAACAAAAAAATTATTATGTTCAAATTTTGATTCTATAAAAATTGTATCAAATATGTTTTATATAAAAAAATATATAAATTTAAATATTTTTTTATAAATATATTTTCATGTATTCATTTTTTATAAAAAAAACATTTTCAATTTATTATAAAAAAATATTTTTAATTTTTTATATAAAAAAAATTCACTTTTTAAAAAAGCAATATATTCAATTTAAAAATATATATTTTAAATTTTTTATATACAAATTTTTTTATTTATTTAGTTATTATTATTTTTGTTGTATATACAAATTAATTTTGTTCTATAAACATATTTCCCATTTTGTTTTTTTGTATATGTGATTTTATGTATATGTGATTTTTCTATTAAAAATTTATATCCGAATTTTATTATAAAAAAATCGGAATTTGTATTTATAAATATTGTATAAAATTGTATCAATCAAAATCTTATTTGCTAAAACTCTTTTTTATGGAAAATTATGCAGAAATATATTTGATTCGGGAGAATATATAGAAAAAGTATTTTTCGTTATTTGAAAAATTTCCTACAGAATAATTAATATATTTTAATGTTTTGCTTTTTTCCTGCTTGCATGTTTGCCACACTTAATAACCCCTCAATTACATCGTATAACATTTTGTAAAACAAAATATTTAATTTCATGTTTTTCTTGAAAATTGCTACACCAAAAAAACGAAGTAAAAATTTTTATGAGTCTTTTTGTTCTGGTTTTTTTCACCCAAAAAAATATATATTAAGTAGTCAAAAACTCAACCAAAATACTCATACATATATTGTTTATCCATACAAATTTTTATTTCTTTAGCATATTTATTTTATGATTCAATTTCCAATTTCGTGTTCCAAGTATTTACAAGCATTAAAATAATACAACACACACACGGACACACACACAAAAATGTACAACAAAATGTTTTAACACACCACAAAAACCGAAATGATGAAGAAAAACGATCCGAAAGTTGGTCATAAAAACCGAAACGAAAAAGAAGGATTTACGACTAATTAAATTTTTGTGTGCAACAAAAAAAAAAGCAGCAAAGAGAACCGAACGCATACACACATACAACATTCTTTATGTATTTGGGGTCACAACAACAAAATGTCTATAAAAAAATTAATATTTTCTTGGGTAGTTGTCGTTGTTTTGTTTATACGAAAAATTTTTGCTAATTAATAATTATGACTATAGACAAATTGGAATTTGTTTTGTGTGTCTCACTTACCGTTAATGTGGCCGACCATGAAGTTTCACCACTTTCCGATGATGCCGTACAGGTATAGAGGCCAGAGTCGCTGAGTTGCAGATCTAGAAGTTGAGAAAAAAAAACAAATTAGGCTTTTTTTCAAATAAAAATTACAAAATTTAAAATTGAGAAGAAATTAAAAAAAATTTCAAACTTAACAAAAATTAAATTTCGAAAAAAAAATATTTTTTATAGCTTTTGCTTTTAAATAAAACGCAGATTTAAATAAAAAATGAGAATTTTAAAAGATAAAAAATACCAACACACACACTATACACAATTTAATTTAAAAACAATGCTATAATACACCTGACAACATAGTTGTGTAGGGTATAAAAATTGATTTAATGAAATTCAACAGAATACAAAGTTAGAATATAATATTAAAAAAATGTTTAAAAATTAAAAAAATTAAAATTATAACACATCAAATTTATTCACAAAAAAAACTATGAAATTTGGAATAATTTTTTTTATAGTTTTTATCATTTTTTTATAAAACAAAACAAATTTCACGTTAAAAGTTTGAAAAAAAAATGAAAAATTTGTTAAACTAAATCCAAAACAAAAACAAATTTCACGTTAAAAGTTTGAAAAAATTTTGAAAAAATCAACTTTTTCCTAAAATTAAAAAAAAAAATTAAAAATCCAAAAAAAACAATTTTAAAAATTTAGAATAATTTTTTTATACCCTTCACCACACTGTGGTACAGGGTATTATGTCTTTGTACATATGTTTGTAACAGGCAAAAGGAAACAAGATAGTCACATGGTTCCTTGCATATGCATAGCATCACTTTCTAAATCGATTTATGCATGTCCGCCCGTCCATCCTTCTGTCCGCCTGTCTGTCCATGTTAAATTGTAAACAAAGTACAGGTCGCATTTGTTATTCGAATTGGATGAAATTTGGCACAAATCATTCATTTGGCCCAAGGACGAACCCTATTGAAATTGGGGAAAATCGGTTCAGATTTAGATATAGCTCCCATATATATTTTCGACCGATTTAAGGTAAATGGTGCACCAAATACCCTATATATTTTTCTATTTGCACGAAATTTGGCACAGCGTAGTGAATTAAGCCTAGTATGATGTGTGTTAAGTTTCCTGAAAATCGGTTCAGATATAGATATAGCTCCCATATATATTTTCGTCCGATTTAAGGTAAATGGTGCACCAAAAACCCTATATATTTTTCGATTTGTACGAAATTTATCATAGCGTACTGAATTGAGTCTAGAATTATGTGTGCTAAGTTTCGTGAAAATCGGTAAAGATTTAGCTCCCATATATAGTTTCGTCTGATTTAATGTAAATGGTGCACGAAAGTCCCTATATATTTTTCGAAATTTGGCATAGCGTACTGAATTGAGTCTAGAATGATGTGTGCTAAGTTTCGTAAAAATCGGTTCAGATTTAGATATAGCTCCCATATATATTTTCGTCCAATATAAGGTATATGGTGCACCAAAGCCTCTATATACCTTTCTATTTACACGAAATTTTGCACAACGTACTGAATTGAGTCTAGTATGATGTGTGGTAAGTTTCGTAAAAATCGGATCAGATTTAGATATAGCTCCCATATATTTTCTCCGATTTGAGGTAAATGGTGCGTCCCTATAAATTTTTCGATTTTCACGAAATTTGGCACAGCATAATTTCTAGAATGATGTGTGTTAAAATCGGTTCAGATTTTGATATAGCTCCCACATATATTTTCGTCCGATTTAATGTAAATGGTGCACAAAAGTCCGAATATATTTTTCGATTTGCACGAAATTTGGCATAGCGTACTTAATTGAGTCTAGAATGATGTGTGCTATGTTTCGTAAAGATCCGTTCAGATTTAGATATAGCTCACATATGTATTTTCGTTCGATTTTTCACAAATAGTGCATCAAACTCCTAACGTTTGTCCGATTAACACGAAATTTTGCACAACGTATTAAATTAAGTCATGAATGGCGTTATTGGGTTTTGTTGAAATTGGTGCAGATCCAGCCATAGCTTCCATATGTATTTCGAACGGGTGTCAGCTTGAGATTAAATTTTTAACAGTGCGTCGTACCGACTAGCGTGTATCAATTTTGCTTTAAATCGTTTTCCATAAATTTGTCCCATGGTACGCAGACGACTCTAAATCTGCCCGAATGAGATTAAATTTATCATAGGTTGCTGAAAGACATGAGTATGTTCCTTCGAGGGAACATTGACATACAATTGTAAGGATACATATGTACAATATACCCAAAGTTGTGAAGGGTATGATATAGTCGGCCCAGTCCAACTTTACTACTTTCCTTTCCGGTTTAAATATGAAATATATTTCAACCAATTTTAATTTTTTTTTTGTTTTGTATATTTTTGCATCTTCCCATAATTTCCCCCCCCCCTTATCAGCTACTTACCATCAATCCTTAGAGATCCACCCTGAACAATGGTATAACGATTACCACTTTGTAGGGTGGTGCCATCACGATACCACTTAACGCGTGGTGTTGGATGTCCTGAAGCACGGCAGGGTAACATGGCAACACTGCCCTTGGGTAGAGTTTGATTTGAGGGGCCAATTTGGATGATGGGCGGTGGGGTATCGTCTACAGAGGTAACCTATGGCAACAATTTATTGAAGTGAAGTGATTTGATTAATACAAAGGGAAAAAAGAAGAAGAAGACGTTGCAGAAAATGTGAGATTTTTTCACAAAGCACAAATACATACATACACATAAGAATGTGTGTGATTGCATCTGGCTTTGTCATGAGTGTGCGTTTTGGATCCCCTGACAACCAACCAACGTTGTCTTGTTTTCCAAAAGTCTTTCTCCCTGTCCCCTTTCTTACCTGTAAAAATGCTCGAATTGTTGTCGAATCGACAACACTAAAGGCCGAACAGACATAATAGCCGGCATCATCCTTTTGTACACCATTGATTTGCAGAGTACCTTCAAGTGAGACATGTAAGTGGCCATAGGAGTTGTTGGGGAACATCAGAGTGCTGGAACCCTCTTTGGTCCAGAATACCGAGGGTGGTGGATTGCCATCGGCCACACAGGGGAATGAGGCAACACCGTTCAGGCCCACCTTTTTGTCTTGGGGTTTGACTATGAAGGTGGGAGGTGCTATAATGGAAAAGAGTGAGAGAGAGAGAGGAAAAAGAGAGACAGAGAGCAGAAGACAAAAAATACTTTGAAAAGTTACGAAATTAATTAAAACACCAGTTAACTTACCATGCACGGTCAACGAGGCCCTGGCACTGATTTGTCCCACCGAATTGAGAGCCTCACACACATAGGTGCCCTCATCCTCTGGCACAATGTTGAAAATTTCCAAACCTTTGTCGTCGGGCTGTATGCTTACTCTGGATACGGGTATATTGCCTTCTTCCTTTTTCCACAAAATCTTTGGTGGTGGATCACCACCAACCGAACAATGAAATGTTGCCGTTTGTCCAGCCAGCATGGTTAGGTCTTGAGGTTTTTTCATAAAATAGGGTTTAACTGTAAAGAGAGAGGAGGAGGAGGAAAAACAAGAGCAATTAAAGTTTTTTGTTGCTGTTAAAATTAATAAAGTTCTGTTCTGTTAAGCCTTCTTATGTCCTGGTCTCCACACAGCAGGCCCAGGGACAAGTACATATATTCTTAAGGTTTTGAAGAGTTTTTGTTTTGGCTCTTGTGCTTCAACGGTCGGTCGGACGTTCGTTGGTCACAATGACACTTGAAATGTTAATATTGCTTAAGGTAAAGAAAAGTCGTAAACTTTTTCTTCAACATTGATGGGGTACTTCTTTACATTTCGTTGTTCATCAGCACCCCAACATCCCCTTTCACTCTCTACATATTCCACACACAAAGTAGAAGGAAATAAATGAGCCCCAGGTCTCAAGTTGTGGTCATCTATGGGGAAGTTTCAGAAAAAAACCCAGAAAGAAAAGAAAGAGGTAACCAACAAGCCAGCTGTTGGTTAATTGTACCTTCCTCCACCTCGCACCCCATGGACCACAACAAAATAAGATTGTAAAAATTATACCACTAATGACTTACTAAGACTTATTGTTTTTTAAGAAAAAAATTTATTATACACCAAACAAAAGCAGGACAAACCTACACATACTCACTCTCACATATACAGGAAGGAAATGTGCAGAAAACTTGAACTTACAAACACCAGCCACAACAGCTGCTTAAATGAGAGGGAGAGTGGAAGAAAAACGGAAACTGACCAGGACAACAAAAATAGTTTTCCGTTTTTAATGAAATCTTGTTGTGTGGCGAAGGCTACGGCGGAGGGTATGTAACAAAGTTAAAACTATTTGTTTATGTCACCGGAACAAGTGGTTGGTCAACAGATACTCTATTTTATTATTTTTTGTTTTGTTTTTTTTTTTTAAGAACATTAAAACTTTGTATCCGGCAGTTGTTAACACACTACAACGCACAGTGACAATGATCCGAACAGATGGATGGGGAGAAAAAAAATCAAAAATAAATTTCATTTTGTCAAAAATTTGTTGAAAAGTCGAAGTAACTGAAAGGGTTATTTATCTTTGAAAAGGTGATAATAATTTCAAAAATGCAATATAATTACAAAAAATGGTGCATACTTTTAGGGTTTGCTAAGACAAACAAAGTCAAAAAATTAAATAAAAACGGTGCATATTTTTAGGGTTCACAAATAGTATGGAAATATATCTCCAAAGATAAAATTAAAAAATGGGGCATACTCTAGGGGTTTGCTAGAACTGACAAACATAGCCTAAACAAATGAAAATTTAATTTAAAAAAATTATATAAATTCAAGGTTTAGAAACAGTAACAATGGTGCATATTTTTAGGGTTTTCTAAGACCTAGATAATTGGCTCTCTTATATCGAAATCCTATATAATCATATATTTAATGTTATAAATAGAAATAATTGATCAATTATTTTCAAGAACGAACAAATTAAAAATTATTAATATACTAAGCAAGTAAAAAGGGGAGGTTAAGTTCGGGTGGGGCCGAACTATTTCAACCCAATTTTCGGTATATTGGGGGGTTTATGAGGGAATTTTTCGACCAAATTCGCTGTACTGTAGTAATTGGAGTTCTTTTTTGGTAGCCAACATCTGCAATAAAAATTAGAAATGCGGGTCCATTTTTTCGGGTAGCCTCCATATAACGGAACCCCTTATTTTTGGATATTTTATAGTTTTTGAGCGCGGTTTTTAACTGAATTCACTGAAATTTTGTAGTTTGAGTGTTTATTAGGTAGCAAATAGTTCCACAAAAAATTATAAATATAGACCAATTTTTTCGGTTAGCCACCATATAAGGATATCCTCTAATTGTCAGTCTTTTGTGATTTTAGAGCGCGTTTTTCGATCGAATTCGCTGTAATTAAGAACTTTGAGTTCTTATTAGGTAGCAAATATCTCCACAAAAAATTATAAATATAGGCCAATTTTTTCGGGTAGCCACCATATAAGGGTACCCTCTAATTTTTGGTGTTTTGGGGTATTAGAGCAAATTTTTGACCGAATTCGCAGTAATTTAGTTTTTTGAGTTCTTATTGGGTAGCAAATCTCTTCACAAAAAATTATAAATATTGGTCCACTTTTTCGGATAGCCCCCATATAACGGTACCCTCTAATTTTCAGTATTTTGAGTGGGATTTTCTGACCAAATTCGCCAAAAATTGGTACTTTAGGTTTAGGTCTCCACCAAAAATTATAAATATAGGTCCACATTTTCGGATAGCCCCCATATTAACGTAGCCTCCCATTTGTAGTATTTTGGGGTTTTGAGCGCAGTTTTCAACTGAATTAACAGAAATCTGGTACTTTAAGGGAACCCCCGCCCCATTCTCCATTTTTTATTTTTAAGATTTTAAATGGGCTGGTAAATGAATACCAATGCTTGTTAAGGTTTGTAACTTGGCACATATATATTTGAAGATTTAAAGAAGAAGAAAAATAATTTACCAAAAGTTGTTGTTGTTGTTTTTTGGGTTCAAAGAAAAGTCCATATTTTCGATGGCGGGCATGATAACTCCTCACTGGAACATCGGAATCCGAAAATTCCAACTGTGTTAGAAAGAGGACATGTCTGGCTCTCGTATGAACTAGGATTATTGACTTCGCACAACAATTAACAAAATGGCGGAACTTTGAAAATTTTTTTATAGAAAATCGCCTATTTTTTACCACAAACTAAGTTAAAAAATAAGGAAGATCTTCACCGATTGGCTTTATCCTAGTTCATACGAGAGCTACACACTCCCAGAGAAACGTGTCAAAATTTGAAACCGATTGGATTACTAGTTTTTTGAGTTATCGTGCCCGCCATTCATTTTGAGAAAAACGCGTTTAAAGGTTGAGAAGCCCTTTAGCCGTCACTTGATGCTGACACAATAAATCGGCTATATCTTCAAGAGTTCTTGAGATTTTCACTTGAAATTTTGTAGGAACATTCTAGAATTAGAGTAGATTCGAATTAAATCAAAAAATTTTTTGACACCGAGAATGGGGGGGTCCCCTTAAGTTCTTATTCGGTACCAAAATCCTCCACTAAACTATACATACAGGTCCTCTTTTTCGGTTAGACCAATATAACGGTACCCCCAAATTGTCACTATTTTGTTGGTTTTGAGCAAGGTTTTAAACCGAATTCGCTGAAAAATTGTACTTTGGCTTCTTATTGAGTACTAAAATCATCCACGAAAAATTTTAAATTTAGATCTTTTTTGCAGGATATATGGGGGCTACATGTAAGGATACCCTGCAAATTGTTTGGGCATTTTGGTGGTTTTCAATTGAGATCGCTATAATTTTGAATTTTCGGTTCTTATTGTGTAATGGAAATCTCCACTAAAAATTATAGTTATATTAAAGCCAATACCGAAATTTTCGGTATCGTTAATATGGACCTACTGGAGTAAATATTTATAATTTTTGGTATGGTGACTTTGTAGCCAATGCCAATACAAAATAAAAAATTCAGCTATTTTGGTTACAAAATAGCTGAATTCTTTAAAATTCTTAAATTTGTGAGGTACCGTTATTTTAGGACTTCCTTAAAAAATCTGACCCATATTTGGAATTTTTGATAGGAAAATTTGCTGCTAACCACAGAGAACACAAAATATCAAATTGCAGCAAATTCGGATGAAAAGAGTACCCAAAATTCCACATATGGAGGGGTTCCTTTATATGGGGGGATTACCCTAAAAAGAGGACCAACATTTTTCATTTTTGATGCAAAGATTTCCTACACAAGGATTTACTACCCTATAAATTCCCTAAATATTCAATTACAGCCTCTTCAGTTTAAAAACGTGCCCTAAGTACCGAATATTGGAGGTTGGCGTTGTATGGGTGTCAAACAAAAACATGGATCAATCCTGCGAGTAGAGACAATGTTTATGGAAAATTTCACAACCTAGTCATAAATATTGCGAGGTCGTGATTTCAACAGACGGACATAGCTAAATGAAATCATTTTTTTTCTGATCCAGAATTTTGGGGTCTCCGGCGGATTTTTTTTTGAGATATTGCAAATGGAATGACAAATTTGAGATAGGATTGAAGGTAGGAGGGTATAAAAATAAAAAAATTATTCTGTGAGAATTAAGATTTTTTTTAACCATATTTCATTATTTAATCTTTAATATTTTTCTTATAAATAAAATTTTCATACCAAATAAATTTCCCAAAATTTTAAAACATTTTCTTTAAAATTCCTCCACCTCATCCTTTGGTTTATTATTTTGTCTGCATGCAAAATCTGTGTAAATCAAACAATTATTTGGTTAAATAAACCACAATAAAGGAAAAATCACAAACAACAACAAAAAGAAAACAATAACAAGACAAAACACACATAACGCTAAAAAAATGCCATATTCGTAATTGAACAAACAAAAACAAATGAAAAAGAAAACAAAAAAAAAACATAGATGGATATTTTATAACACCACGGCATACAGTAAAGGAGGAAAAGTGGGGAAATATATATTTTGGGGTTTTGTTTCATATATTTCCACACCCAAAGCCGTGGCGCTTTAAGTTTTCCATTTTCATGTTTTCTGTTTGTATTTTGTTAGGTATGTCGTTGTTGAAGTCATCGTCGTCAGTGATAACAATTTTCCGATGTATTTTTAAATGGCAATGCCGGCACAGCGGCACAACAAGATATCGTCAACATATCACTCACCGCATCTTTTAGTGTATGTTAACAAGGGCCAAAGAGGGGAGGTAGGCGAAGAGAGTAAGCCAAAATATTGAAAATATCCAAAGAAAACGTATCACAAATATTTGTATTGTGAAAAATAAACGAAATTCCCCTGATGGCGCCAAACTTTCAACTCTTGCAAGCAATGATGGTGTTGCACCGGCATCGCCACACACCCACCCCCCCTCCGTCCTAACCACTTGAAATGTATCTGCCGACAACAGCGAGCGAACGACCGATCGACTTCTCCTTGAGTGCAAGTAAGCTATGCGATACATTGCCAAGATGG